CTCAAAATTTTTCCAGGAATTTCCATAAATTTTCACCCCAAATCAATAAGGGGGGAAACTTGTACCTTTAATGCTTCAAAATTTAATTGAAAGTTGATATTTTCCTGGGATTTAAATGTCCATAATTTGTTGTATTAATCATGACAAAAATGTTTATTGAGAGCACGAAAACGAATTTGAAATTTTCAGGCAAGGCTATTTAAAAATCCTTTAAAATGTTTCCAGCGGCTGCATTGCTTTTTTGTTCTGACTTTCGATACGAAAGTAACGGAATATTTGTGCTCGGGATGGGTTTTTTTTTCTTCAGACAAATTTCGACTTTTTAACTAGCCATTTTTGACGAAATTTTTGACTAGCCGTTTTTTATATCATTCGAAAGGTATTGTTGTCTTAAGGTTAAATTTGAAAAGATTTTTTACCTGTGATCATAAAGTTATGAGGGTTTAAAGATTGCCATTTTGGCCAACTTGGGACAATTAACGCGCGATAAATTAGATCTATTAACGCGTAAGCGAGGTTTAATCCGTCTTAGAAATCGTTCCAAATTGGTTGAAAGAAGCCTATTTGCCATAATTGATTTGTTACAAGGAGCGATGTCTATTGTTTTGTACTTTATATCGCGTGTGGGGGGATGAGTTTTATCGAAAAATTTTAAAGTTTTAGAACAAAAGTTTTTCATTCATTTTATTTCATTTAATTTTTTATGTGGTTTATGTTATTACTGCTCCTTAAACAGTAAAAGGTAGTCGGAACTTTCAGGGCTTCGCCCTGATACGAGCAGTCTTGTTGTTCCGACTTTCGATACAAAAGTAACGGAATATTTGTGCTCGGGGTGGGTTTTTTCTTCAGACAAATTTCGACTTTGTAACTAGCCTTTTTTGACAGAGTTTTTTAAATCATTCGAAAGGTATTGTTATCCTGAGCTCAAATTTGAAAAGATATTTTACCTGTGATCTTTTTTCATAAAGTCATGAGGGTTTAAAGATTGCCAATTTGGCCGATTTGCGACAATTAACGCGCGATATATTTCGCGCTTTTAACGCGTCAGCGGAGATTTAATCCGTTAAAAGAAGCTTATTTGCCATAATTGATTTGTTACAAGGAGCAAAATCTATCTTTTTGTACTTACTATGGCGTGTGGGTGGATGATTTTTATAAAGAAAATTTCAATTTTTAGAAAAAAAAAGTTTATTTTATTTTTTTTACATTTATTTTTTTAATGTTAAAACTGCTCCATAAAGCTTTAAAAGGCAGTCGGAACATTCAGGGCTTTGCCCTGATACAAACAATCTTGTTATACTTGGAAACAATATATAATTATGAGATAGTTTTTGAAGTTTCAATTTTAACACAAAAATAATTAACAATTCTCATTTAGAAACAATGATAGCCGGTTACTGTGCAAGTAGAATTCAATTTTCCGACCACAATCATTGAAAAAAAAGAAAAAAAGGTGTTTTCTAGAACAAAAAACAAAAATTTGAATATATTCGACAGCCTATAAAAGCAAAATAAAAAACTATTTTTGTAGAAAAATGACCATAATATCGAAAAAGTTTTCGTAATAAAACTCAAACCAATTTTCAATTTTATTTCTCAATTTTTGTTGAAAAACATTGAAAATTCGTTTTTTAGCTTCAAAATCTACCAACTGAACAAAATATATAGTGTGAAAAACATTATGCGACCCTTGAAAATTAAAAAAAAATAGGCCAGCTCAATTGAACTAATGATTTTGATTTTAAATTAAATTATGTATAAAACTAACGACACTGCTGGGTAATTGAAGAAAAGATGGTAACTGAAAAACAAATCTCGCCAAAAGAGATCAAGTTGGTTGTATGGCGATGGTTTTCCTACAGTTCTCAACTGGTGTGAAGAAGAAATTTGAAGGTCGACATATGCCATTGACTCCTAATATGTTTTTTTGAGGGGGACTGCTTTTTGGCAAATTTTCAGTGTTTTATAGCACTGCGATCAAAGCCTATTATTTGGATTTATACAACTTGGGTTTATACATTTTGCAGACCAAAGAAACTCGTCAAACACCAGCGCCACCAAGAAAACTTATTCACGACAAATTTTGACTTTTTAGTTCCAACTTTTTCAACGAAAGTAACAGATTGCTTGTGCTTCGGTAGATTTTTTCTTCTTCAGACTATTTCGACTTTTTAACTAGCTATTTTTGTTCCAAGTTGCTCAATAGTTCAAATGTATTTATGTCTTGGGCTTAAACTTGAAGAGGTATTTCACCTGTGATCATTTTTTGCACAGTTATGGGGGTTCAAAAATTGCCATTTTGGCCAATATGGGACAATTAACGCGCGATAGTTTTCGCGCTAATAACGCGTTTGTGGAGATTCATTTCGTCTTAGAAATCATTCCAAATTGATTGAAAAAAGCCTTTTTACCTTCATTGATCCGTTACTAGGAACAAAACTTAGCACTTTTTACTTAATATGTCGTGTGGGGGATGATTTTCATAATAAATCTCAATTTTTTTCGTTTCTTTTAACTTTAATACTTTTTTCATGTTACCACAGCTCAGCTCCGTAGACCTTAAAGGCAGTCCGAACATTCAAGGCTTCGCCCTGATACGAGCAATTTTTTTTTATCTTTTAAAGATCAACCGTTCAATCTCCCTACCCATGCCCCCATACCCCCCAAAGTCACCAACCGTAGAATTTCTCCCGTGGCCACGTGTTCAATTTGAAAAGTAATTCTATATAATGTATGCATTTCCAACAAACGCGCATATGAAATTCATTGTCACACTTTTTATGTGATACTGCATCTGAATGCTGTTAATAACGTAATCCTACGTAGTTTAGATCAATTTTCTTTAAACAAATAGTTAAATTTATAATTCGAAGGTCGACTCAAAGTTGTTTCCTGAAAACCCAAAACTTCTCCCCCTAAATTGTTTTTTTTTGGGAGGGGGCAGAAAGTTGTGCGGTTGGTTTGCTTCTAAAATTAATTGGAAGACGATAATTTCCAGTGATTGCATTTTCCAAATGTTCATATTTTGTTGAAATTAATCATAACAAAAATGTTTAATGCTAGCACGAAATTGAATTTGAAGTTTTCAGACAAGGCAATTGAAAAATCCTTTAACATGTTTTCAACAGCTGCATTGTTTTTTTAGTTGGAACCAATTTTAATTTATAAGTTGATTTTTTTACGTATCAAAATAAACACAAAAATCATTAACAATTCCCATTTAGTAAGAATGGTAGCTGGTTACCGTGCAAGTAGCGTTCAAGTTTCTAGTAGCGTTCAAAACTAATAGCTACGGAAACATAGATTTGGAAGCAATGTACCCGTGTTCGAATACGACAAAAACCTACCGCAGTGATAGAAATCGATTATCTACAGAAAAACATACAGATTTTAGATCTGTTTTAATTTTATCTAGTAAAACATCGATTATGTAGTTATTTTAACCGATTATAAGGTATTTTTGTGAAGTTTTATAATGTAGATCTTCTCCGCACCGGAGTTCAATGGACAATCATCAATTACAATGGAAAATTGTTGTCTAAAATTTCATTATAATCCATTATTGTTGCAAACGTAGACCACAAAAATGCTTATATTGTAATTATAATTGATTCTTTTTTTGAAAGGAAATTCATTATATTGCATTATAATAGTTTATAAACCATTTAAAATCCAGTATAATTCATTATTAAAAACACATGCAAAACTCGCAACTTTTCTGAGTTACTCACGGCCTGCTCGCAATATAAATCTATACAAATTAACCCTCTCACTTTCCCCCTTCCGCATTTGCCTCTCCCCCCCCCCCCTTAAAACCGCATTTAAACAAATCCCCTACACTTATTTACATTTAAACCCCCTCACCCAAGTTTTTTGTTCCAAACTCCCCCCATTTTTTTAACCACGCCCACGTTCAGTAAACATGGGAGGGAGGAGAGGGTTAAACTAAGATAGGGGGAGGGGGCTGGTAAACTGACCAGGGGTGAGGGGAGTTAAACTGGGGAAGGGGGTTGTCAAGAAGTAATGGAGTTTACGTAGAATAGAAAAGTACAGAAAACTTAAATAAATAAAACCTTATGTGAAAAGTAAAAATTTATGAAATGTAATACGTAGAAACTGCACGAAACAGGCAATGAGTTAACTTTAAAAGAGATTGCAAAATTCAAAAATTTCTTCTCAAAAATTCAGTTTAATTGATTATAATCTACTATTATGGTTTATATCGATTTGAAAACTTTTATAATTATAATCCAATTTTAATGGATTAAGATCGATTATAATCGATTAGAATGGATTGTATTGATATGAAATACATTGATTATAATCCATTTTTGATGGATTTCAATCACTAATTTTTGTGCTTTTAAAGATACAGACTAAAGAATGACAATTTAATCGTTTATTATCCATGGAAATCCAGTGCAGGTCCTTAAAAAATGATTACAAAAACACTCGACAACTGTTTTTTTTGTATCAATTTTCATGCATACTATACACAGATTATGTACAGACTATATACAGATTATATACAGCTTACGTACTGATTTTCTCAGTATACTCGTCGCTAATGGGATATTTTGAGTACAGTGAAATAAAATTATGTTGGCTTAAGCCTACATAATTTTGTTTCAATATTCTCGAACTATCCGATTATCGAATGCACTGAGAAAATCAGTATGTAAGCTGTATATAGGCTGTATAAAATCTCCATATAAATTGTATAATTTCCACGAAACAAATTTTTTTTTTCAGATCAAATCTTAGTGAAAAATCATCAATGAAATTTTTCATTGATATTTTTTGTACTAAGGTAGTTCGAAATGATTAACAGTTAAAACTTATTGTCCTATTTAATTGACAATTTTAATTGTAGTTGACTTTAGCCTTAAAGGACGAAAGGACAATTTTGCGAGAATTGCCAAACGGGACTGATTTTCAAACAGCACATCTTTTATTGTCGCATATCAAGAAAACTTTGATATCGCTTTTCCTGACTTTAGGTGATGCGCGAAGAATACATCATTTCGTTCTGGACCATTTTTTCCAACATTGGTGGAAACGTCGGCATTTGGCTGGGCCTGAGTGCGTTCAACGTATTGGACATCGTTTACTCGTATTTGAAAGAATGCATTATTGGCCGAAACGGGAAACAAGCCGAAAAGGAGCGCAAGCGCAACACAAGCGTGCGAAAAGATGTCGCAGGCGTGACAATTGGGAAGAAAGAAAGAAGCAGGAGCAGACATGTGTTTAAGCAGACAGACCACTACGAGAACGATTATCGGCTAGCGAGTTTTATCTCAATTGATACGGATGGGCCAAACAAATCAGCCGCCACTGAATCTAATGGTGTAGGGGTGCAGATAGCTGATTTTACTAATGAAAGAATCCGCAGCAGCGAAGTGTGCGAAATAACGGAAATAAAAATCAAGAAATCCAGAACTGAGAAAAGTCCTATCCCCAGTGGCTTTCACAGTTGTGTATGAGACATTTTTGCTGGAGCCAATTAGTTTTATATGACACATTCTTTTCCCCAACAAACTGCTTGGCATGATAAGAAACGTTTTACCAAGCTCATCAGACCCGTTTAATTCTTTGATGTAAAAATCTGATGGGCAAAATGAACTTTGACGGAACTATATGATTTAATTGGGCCAATCAGTATAAAATTGCTCATATGGAATCCACGGAACTTATAATTTAAACATCCTGTAACGGCCAAACTTCGTTTCTCTTGAAGCCAAAAAAACTATTTCGGTCTTGTAGTGGTTTCTAAGGTCAAAGTGTGCCTAACACCTGGCGGCAATGAATGACAAGATTGCATTTGCAATTGATCTGAACACTTATCTCATTGCTAGTATCTTTTAAAAACTTTTGCGAGGTTACTTGCATCAGCAGCAGTGTTAGAAGCGGGCCTGAATTAAATGAAAAAAATTTTGCAAGGTTACTTGCATCAGCAGCAGTGTTAGAAGCGGGCCTGAATTAAATGAAATAACTTTTGCGAGGTTTACTTGCATCAGCAGCAGTGTTAGAAGCGGGCCTGATTTAAATGAAAAAACTTTTGCAAGGTTACTTGCATCAGCAGCAGTGTTAGAAGCGGAAAATTAAATGAAATTTTTTTTTGCAAGGTTACTTGCATCAGCAGCAGTGTTAGAAGCGGGCCTGAATTAAATGAAAAAAAATTGCAAAGTTATTTGCATCAGCAGCAGTGTTAGATGCGGACCTGAATTAATTGAAAAAACTTTTGAAAGGTTACTTGCATCAGCAGCAGTGTTAGAAGCGGGCCTGAATTAAATGAAAAATCTTTTGCAAGGTTAATTGCATCAGCAGCAATGTTAGAAGCGGGCCTGAATTAAATGAAAAAACCTTGCAAGGTTACTTGCAGCAGCAGCAGTGTTTAAAGCGAGCCTGAACTAAATGAAAGAAATTTTGCAAGGTTGCTTGCATCAGCAGCAGTGTTAGAAGCGGGCCTGAATTAAATGAAATAATTTTTGCGAGGTTTACTTGCATCAGCAGCAGTGTTAGAAGCGGACCTGAATTAAATGAAATAACTTTTGCAAGTTTACTTGCATCAGCAGCAGTGTTAGAAGCGGGCCTGATTTAAATGAAAAAAACTTTTGCAAGGTTACTTGCATCAGCAGCAGCAGTGTTAGAAGCGGGTTTTGCATCAGCAGTGTTAGAATCGGGTCTGAATTGAATAAAAATTGATGCAAGGTTACTTTCATCAGCAGCAGCGTTAGAAGCGGGCCTCAACTAAATGAAAAATTTTTTGCTAGGTTACTTGCATCAGCAGCAATGTTAGAAGCGGGCCTGAATTAAATGAAAAAACTTTTGCAAGGTTACTTGCATCAGCAGCAGTTGTTGAAGCGGAAAATTAAATGAAATTTTTTTTTGCAAGGTTACTTGCATCAGCAGCAGTGTTAGAAGCGGGCCTGAATTAAATGAAAAAAAATTGCAAAGTTATTTGCATCAGCAGCAGTGTTAGATGCGGACCTGAATTAATTGAAAAAACTTTTGCAAGGTTACTTGCATCAGCAGCAGTGTTAGAAGCGGGCCTGAATTAAATGAAAAATCTTTTGCAAGGTTAATTGCATCAGCAGCAATGTTAGAAGCGGGCCTGAATTAAATGAAAAAACCTTGCAAGGTTACTTGCAGCAGCAGCAGTGTTTAAAGCGAGCCTGAACTAAATGAAAGAAATTTTGCAAGGTTGCTTGCATCAGCAGCAGTGTTAGAAGCGGGCCTGAATTAAATGAAATAACTTTTGCGAGGTTTACTTGCATCAGCAGCAGTGTTAGAAGCGGACCTGAATTAAATGAAATAACTTTTGCAAGTTTACTTGCATCAGCAGCAGTGTTAGAAGCGGGCCTGATTTAAATGAAAAAAACTTTTGCAAGGTTACTTGCATCAGCAGCAGCAGTGTTAGAAGCGGGTTTTGCATCAGCAGTGTTAGAATCGGGTCTGAATTGAATAAAAATTGATGCAAGGTTACTTTCATCAGCAGCAGCGTTAGAAGCGGGCCTCAACTAAATGAAAATTTTTTTGCTAGGTTACTTGCATCAGCAGCAATGTTAGAAGCGGGCCTGAATTAAATGAAAAAACCTTGCAAGGTTACTTGCAGCAGCAGCAGTGTTTAAAGCGAGCCTGAACTAAATGAAAGAAATTTTGCAAGGTTACTTGCATCAGCAGCAGTGTTAAAAGCGGGCCTGAATTAAATGAAATAACTTTTGCGAGGTTTACTTGCATCAGCAGCAGTGTTAGAAGCGGACCTGAATTAAATGAAATAACTTTTGCAAGTTTACTTGCATCAGCAGCAGTGTTAGAAGCGGGCCTGAATTAAATGAAAAAACTTTTGCAAGGTTACGTGCATCAGCAGCAGTGTTAGAAGCGGGCCTGAAATAAATGAAACAACTTTTGCAAGGTTTCTTGCATCAGCAGCAGTGTTAGAAGCGGGCCTGGATTAAATGAAATAACTTTTGCAAGGTTACTTGCATCAGCAGCAGTGTTAGAAGCCGGCCTGATTCAAATGAAAAAACTTTTGAAGGTTAGTTGCATCAGCAGCAGTCTTAGAAGCGGAAAATTAAATAAAAAATTTTTTTGCAAGGTTACGTGCATCAGCAGCAGTGTTAGAAGCGGGCCTGAAATAAATGAAACAACTTTTGCAAGGTTTCTTGCATCAGCAGCAGTGTTAGAAGCGGGCCTGTATTAAATGAAATAACTTTTGCAAGGTTACTTGCATCAGCAGCAGTGTTAGAAGCGGGCCTGATTCAAATGAAAAAACTTTTGAAGGTTAGTTGCATCAGCAGCAGTCTTAGAAGCGGAAAATTAAATGAAAAATTTTTTTTGCAAGGTTACTTGCATCAACAGCAGTGTTAAAAGCGGGCCTGAATTAAATTAAAAATTGTTTGCAAGGTTACTTGCATCAGTAGCAGTGTTAGAAGCGGGGCTGAAAAAAAAGAAAAAATTTTTTTGCGAGGTTACTTGCATCAGCAGCAGTGTTAGAAGCGGGCGTGATTCAAATGAAAAAACTTTTGAAGGTTAGTTGCATCAGCAGCAGTCTTAGAAGCGGAAAATTAAATGAAAATTTTTTTTTGCAAGGTTACGTGCATCAGCAGCAGTGTTAGAAGCGGGCCTGAAATAAATGAAACAACTTTTGCAAGGTTTCATGCATCAGCAGCAGTGTTAGAAGCGGGCCTGGATTAAATGAAATAACTTTTGCAAGGTTACTTGCATCAGCAGCAGTGTTAGAAGCGGGCCTGATTCAAATGAAAACTTCTGAGGATTAGTTGCATCAGCAGCAGTCTTAGAAGCGGAAAACTAAATGAAAAAATTTTTTTGCAAGGTTACTTGCATCAGCAGCAGTGTTAGAAGCGGGCCTGAAATAAATGAAACAACTTTTGGAAGGTTTCTTGCATCAGCAGCAGGGTTAGAAGCGGGCCTGTATTAAATGAAATAACTTTTGCAAGGTTACTTGCATCAGCAGCAGTGTTAGAAGCGGGCCTGATTCAAATGAAAAAACTTTTGAAGGTTAGTTGCATCAGCAGCAGTCTTAGAAGCGGAAAATTAAATGAAATTTTTTTTTCAAGGTTACTTGCATCAGCAGCAGTGTTAGAAGCGGGCCTGAATTAAATTAAAAATTGTTTGCAAGGTTACTTGCATCAGTAGCAGTGTTAGATGCGGGGCTGAAAAAAAAGAAAAAATTTTTTTGCGAGGTTACTTGCATCAGCAGCAGTGTTAGAAGCGGGCCTGATTCAAGTGAAAAAAATTTTGAAGGTTAGTCGCATCAGCAGCAGTCTTAGAAGCGGAAAATTAAATGAAAATTTTTTTTTGCAAGGTTACGTGCATCAGCAGCAGTGTTAGAAGCGGGCCTGAAATAAATTAAACAACTTTTGCAAGGTTTCATGCATCAGCAGCAGTGTTAGAAGCGGGCCTGGATTAAATGAAATAACTTTTGCAAGATTACTTGCATCAGCAGCAGTGTTAGAAGTGGGCCTGATTCAAATGAAAAAACTTTTGAAGGTTAGTTGCATCAGCAGCAGTCTTAGAAGCGGAAAATTAAATGAAAAATTTTTTTTGCAAGGTTACTTGCATCAGCAGCAGTGTTAGAAGCGGGCCTGAACTAAATTAAAAAGTGTTTGCAAGGTTACTTGCATCAGTAGCAGTGTTAGAAGCGGGGCTGAAAAAAAAACTTTTGCGAGGTTACTTGCATCAGCAGCAGTGTTAGAAGCGGGTCTGAATTGAATAAAAACTTTTGCAAGTTACTTTCATCAGCAGCAGCGTTAGAAGCGGGCCTGAATTAAATGAAAAAACTTTTGAAAAATTACGTGCATCAGCAGCAGTGTTAGAGGCGGGCCTGAAATAAATGAAAAAACTTTTGAAAGGTTACGTGCATCAGCAGCAGTGTTAGAAGCGGGCCTGAAATAAATGAAACAACTTTTGCAAGGTTTTTTGCATCAGCAGCAGGGTTAGAAGCGGACCTGGATTAAATGAAATAACTTTTGCAAGGTTACTTGCATCAGCAGCAGTCTAAGAAGCGGAAAATTAAATGAAAAAACTTTTGCAAGGTTACGTGCATCAGCAGCAGTGTTAGAAGCGGGCCTGAAATAAATGAAACAACTTTTGCAAGGTTTCTTGCATCAGCAGCAGTGTTAGAAGCGGGCCTGGATTAAATGAAATAACTTTTGCAAGGTTACTTGCATCAGCAGCAGTGTTAGAAGCGGGCCTGATTCAAATGAAAACACTTTTGAAGGTTAGTTGCATCAGCAGCAGTCTAAGAAGCGGAAAATTAAATGAAAAAACTTTTGCAAGGTTACGTGCATCAGCAGCAGTGTTAGAAGCGGGCCTGAAAAAAATGAAACAACTTTTGCAAGGTTTCTTGCATCAGCAGCAGTGTTAGAAGCGGGCCTGGATTAAATGAAATAACTTTTGCAAGGTTACTTGCATCAGCAGCAGTGTTAGAAGCGGGCCTGATTCAAATGAAAAGACTTTTGAAGGTTAGTTGCATCAGCAGCAGTCTTAGAAGCGGAAAATTAAACGAAATTTTTTTTTTGCAAGGTTACTTGCATCAGCAGCAGTGTTAGAAGCGGGCCTGAATTAAATTAAAAATTGTTTGCAAGGTTACTTGCATCAGTAGCAGTGTTAGAAGCGGGGCTGAAAAAAAAAGAAAAAAACTTTTGCGAGGTTACTTGCATCAGCAGCAGTGTTAGAA